TGAGGGTCTAAAAGCAACGACAGTTGTGAGGATCGTGACCCCCACCACGGCGCGGCGATCCCTGTGACTGTCAACACTTTGCTGCTGTTTGAATTGTTTGTGGACATCTTTGTTTAATTTATAAGTTCCTTTTGATTTTTCGCCACTGCTGCAAACAGAGAGGCCCTATGTTGTCCTGAAACAAGCCTTTCGCGATGTCATAAGCAGTCGTGCTGATGTCACGCCTTATCATTGATCAAGCCTTCCTGGAATGCAGGTGGTGCCTGGCGTCCTGGAGCCCTATGGAAGCAACTATGATGATCGAACATGCTGTTCATGTTGACTTTGTATGACCTGCTCAAAAGTGCAAACGGATTTTCCGTAAAGCGTTGCGAATTTTCTTCGCAGGCACCCGGATGTTGTCCTGGTGGAGGAGCGCGCAGGTTTTGTAGAGCCAAGAGAAAGCACCTGAGGTTTGGCCGGCCAGTGGAGCCGCCCCCCGAGAAGAGCCAAGAAGAGAAAGGCTCCAGTTGATGAGCCCGGGTTCGATAAGGTTTGGTATGACGATGCTTGATGCGCTTGGCTTTGAGGGCTCCAGGGTTTGCAGTAGGCAGCAGGCTCTGCGCATTATTTAGTGTCTGGATTGGTCTGGGGACGCGCAATCTAAATGTCTGATTCAGCCTCTCGATGCTATTATGGTGTAAGGCTTTGTGTTTCTGCTGCGGCAGAAACAGCTGCCAGTACCAGTCGTACCCATACTAGTATATCTGTAGAAGTGATGCTGGTAGTAGCGGCAGTGTAGCTGCAGTAGCAGCAGCATTAGCAGTGGCACTATGTTTGACGTGTGAAGATGGGTTGGGATTGGGGTTGGGTGGGGGGGGCTGCATTCTTTAACCAACCATCCTCCCTGACCCTATGACCCCCACAAGCTTTCTGCAAAGAAGATTTTTCTCACAAGAAATGAGTGGATGTCGCCCGCACGCGCTCAACTCGGCGAACCGTTCAGGGGTCGCATGGGGATTTCTGACACCTACTCCTACGACGACGACACCAAAACTACCACTCATCCCTTCAGTTTCGTCACAAAAGCGTTCCCAGCGACTAGTCTCAGGCCAAGGCTTTTACCGGTCTTGTTTGTAGCCTACAAGACCACTCAACCCCATCAAGCCACAAGGTACCTTAAATTGCATGAACACACCGCAACGACCAAACTGAAAATTCAACAGCACGCAATCTGCACGCACGTGCTTGCTTCCCCTGCCGTTGCCAGAGACACTTCGGCCAGACATGGCTGTCCTCTGTGTTGGTGGAAGTTGGTGGAAACATGTAGCAAATAAATTGAAAGTAACATTCTACTTCCAGGCTAACCGCAAAACAACACCGTCACATAAATGATACCGACCTACTATTGCCATTTTCAAAATTCTTACTGGTGTTATGATGATGTTGCATTGTTGATGATGATTACGACTGCTAGTAATCCTCCTCCTCCTACTATTCTTACTATTGCTACTATTACTCGACTACCACTACTACTACACTTCTGCTACTGCTACTGCTGCTACTACTGTTACCACGACTATTGCTAATGCTGCTGCGAGAACCACTGCTACCGCTGCCATTGCTGTTGCTGCTACTGCTGTTGCTCGAATTTGAACCGCGATCATCATCGAATGTCCTAGAACTTTGTAGTGTTAGCAGGAGTACCTGCATGAGCACTGGTATTAGTGCTGCAGCTGTTGCTGCTGATGCTGCTACGGCCAACTATCCATTCTACTGCTTTTCCTGCTGCTGCAACTTCTGGCCGATGCTAGACATGTGCAAAGGTTCTTAAACATTCAAAATTCGAGCCCCAAACCAAGCAAGATTTCTTCGGGAGGCCATCCCTACGCCATGCAGTCCGCCTACAATTTGAACCTTTGGGAGCGCTCTTGATGCATGACAGCTTGGCTGTAAACAGGGTTATGAGTCTTCTCATGATGTTTTGCAAGAACAGCTAACGGGATTGAGTTGTCAGGGTAAAGGCCGCCCAACATTTTTGTAACAGGTTCAACGTTAATTTCAGATGGCATAAGGTTTGTTTTGCAGTCTGGTGCAACAGGTATTTTTGCATAAAGTCTGTAGCTTCAACGTTGTACGTGTATGTAACCCCGAAGGCCGTGTGCAAGGACAGGTTGCAGAAAGTGGCTGTAGGACTGGCAGGGCTCTGCCCCAAAGCAGCTGCCAAACTTTTGAACTTGACGGGGGAACATCAGGTTCAGCTTCACACTCCGGGGTGGCACGGGTCCCTGCCATATGCTGGACCACATTTGGTACGACACAGCGCGGGTCCACTGCCAGGCATCGGCTCGGGCCTGTAAGTTTTACGAGCGAGCAGAAGAGCCCTCAGCACACGTGCTGCTTAAGAGCAAGTACTTCTTCGCGTATTGTCCGCCAGGCAGTGCGTGATGTCTTCCGCTCTGATGAACACAAGCAGGCCTGGCCTATTGTCCTGCCGAGCTTGTTTGCCATGCCAGCCCTCGACAACGTTTGGAGGTTCTTTTTTCTTTCCTGTACTGTAGAAGCTTAGACGCTTGCCGGTAGGGCTTCGCTGCTTAGCTTCACAGCAGCATGGTATCATCTGGACGTCTCAAAACATCAGTCCCAAAAAGCACGCATTGTTCTGCTTGTCCGGCATTACTGCTGCTCTTGCCTGCCGGAAGATTCCCAATTCCCTTTTCTCGTATCCTTACGATTCATTGCCCTGGTTCGATTTTGCGGTTTTGATGCATTTGGCTTGCTTGTTGGTTTGGCTGAGGCCAAACAAAACATTCCCTCTAAAACAAGAGCACCTGCAGGGTTGGAGTTTGGAGGGGGCATTCCAATATGTGAACGCCAGCCTTGAAAGTTTGGCTTGAAGGGAGCAGAGCTACAAAGCCAACAAGTGTGAAGGCACGGACAAATGCACCTTTGCTGCACCTGACTTACCCCGTGTTCAGCGATGCGGCAATTCTCGGGATTGCGGAACTCAGAGAGCCCAAAATCCCTGGCAAGAAAGGCTACTGCTTACATGAAGGAGAATCCTTGCAGACTCAAGGTAGGTACCTCTTTGAACGCGTTGTGCTTGCCTGGCCTTATGTGCTTTGGAGAGGCAGTGCTTCGAGCCGGCCTGCCCAGCACTGAAGACCCTTCTGACACTCGTCTAATTCATTGGGGTGTGGTTTTGGGGGGAGGCAGTAGTTTAAGCGGGCATGATGAAAGCATTTTGGTTCCTCGTTGCTAGTTTGGTCGTATCAGCAGTGTAGACTTTCAGGTAGTTTCCGGGTTCAAGCGACTGGCGGTTTTCGCAGCTGCAGTTGGGCCTGCAGCGGCGGGGATGTGGGCTAACATGTTTCAAGTGTGAAGGTCTTGATCTGAAGTCTTCAGTTTCACGTTTTGCCCAACATTTGGAAAGGCTTGTGTTGGCTGCATCCAGGTAGCGGGGGAAGGTCTTGCTGCAGAGTCATGTGATGGAATGAAACATCGCCCCGGCCTAATAAATGCAGGATGTTGGGGGAGCGAACATGTTTCCTGCAATTGTCATTTCCGTGTTCGGGGAAGGTCGCCGGGGGGTGTGGATGTATCGTCATGCACAGAGGCTGCAAGATGTGAGCTCAAACATGGGATCATTCCAATATTGCTTTCACGTCCAGTGCAGAGCGAAAATCATGGCATATTTCCTGCCTCACCCCTTTTTAAGCTAGGGGGGGATAGTCAACCGATGAATTTTATTTTGCAGTGGGCAAAGCCCAAGTGGCAAATCAAATCACTATTTTATTAGGGGATATTGTTGGCTTTATCGGCCTAGATTTTGTGTCTGACTGCGGGATGCGTCTCCATGCGTGCTTCATTCTAGGACCATTTGCCGGTTGGAGCTGTGTTTCGGCTGGGCCCACCTCCAGAAACATCAGCAGAGCCATTGGCAGAGGCCAGGGCTAGACTGGCCGTGCAAAGGTTTACAATATAAGCTATATGATTAAGTCAAGCTCTTCCCAGCTTGTTCTGTAAAACCCATGGAAAATAGGATATCAGAAGTAAGTTGGAAATTAGCTGCAAGAAGCAAACGATTGAAATCCCCCAAAATTTTGCAGGCAGCAACGATTATCTAGCGGAATTTTCTCGCTGGATGTTTCTGCAACTACTAGACGATTTTCAAGTTGTCTTGCTGGCTGTGTTGCTTTTGCCGGTGCCTTTCGCTGCTATTGATGATAGTAGAGCTAATGATGCATAGGCTTTCAGCTCGGAGGCTGAACTAGAGGTTGACTGGCACCGACGTGTCCCATTGAGACCAACATGAGTGCAAAACATAGCAAACTTGCTGCAGTCTTGGCCCAGATCGTCAATCACGAGCATGCCCTTAGTACGCAGCGTGCTCGGGTTTTCTCCTGAAATGCTGTGATTGCCACAACTGCCACTGAAAAGAGGCCCCAAACCTGGAGGGCCCAGCAGAGCTGCTGGGCGAGGCCGACCAGCTCTGGGAGGCGCTTCAGAGTCCTGTGCGTGGAAGGTTCAATTGTTAATCGGTTCAATATGAATCCTTCTTCTTAGGAGGTTTCCTGGTGTTTTTTGGGCACGCCTGCTCCTCCTACTGGCTTTTCCCAGGGGTACCCGTTGCAAGCTGGACTGCTCACAACAGGATTTTTTGCACTGCGGGGCCCAGTCGTAGGGGCCCTAATGCTGTATTGGACAGTTCTTCCAGGGGTCCGTGCACTTGCCTGTGTGTGTTGAGGCATGCTAGGCTTTGAGAGCTCAACGCAGGCATGTCCGCTGTCCCAAGAGCAGCGTGATGGTTACCTGGCGTGTGAGGAGGCTGGGCTACGAGCCAGGGAGTTCCTGCAACAGATTGTTCGGTGTCTTGCAGAGCCTTGTGCTTCTTCCTGCCTGCCGTCTAGCTAGTAGGAAGATTCGCATGCTTTTCATGCAGGCCCACCAGAGCCTTGTCAGGCATTGTCAGCAGCTATGCCGACTGGGCGCCCCACGCCAGAAGCGCTGCAAGCCTTCGAGGCAGAAATGCGAAAACATCTCGATGTCCGAAACCTGAAGCCATGAAAGTGTGATGCAGGTTTGGAGGATCTAAACTAAGAAGCAGAAACATGGCATTGGAAGTCGCAATCTGCAAGACACTTTTTCGCACTCAGTGCCACGTGTGAGGCGGCCAAAGAGGCTCGTCAAGTCTGCGTCGCAGCCTTCCCAGCTGAAGCACAACAGATGCTGGAGCGTATTGGCGACCTCCGCAAGCAGGCAGTGCTCGTCCGGATGCTCTTCTAGCAAATATGCATTTCTACAAACAGTGGCACTTGTCAACAAGTATGCAGCTTTCCTGTGTAGCAACCCCAATGCAACCCACAATCTTAACCCTTAAGCTGGTTTGCAGGTAGTCCCCAAGTGCCAGGCACGCAAAGTGGAGCAACGGCTGGCAAAGCAAACTGCCAAGGAGCCAATGCATTGTTTGGGTAATCTTCTTATCTTTTTTGGGTGGGCGATTGTCTTGTGAGCTTGGGAAAATCCTGAAGGATTTTGAAGGCAGATTGTGGACAGGTTGGCCGGAACATGCCCATTCTCCAGAATTTCTGTTGGAAGTGCCCCAGAAGCCCCAGCGATCTTCTCGTTGGGGATATTCTCTTAGCAGTAATGGAGTAAACTGCTCAAGCTTTCTTCCCTGGGACGGGGATGCCAAGGAGACCAAGGCGAAGATGCATGCTTCGAAAAAGAAAGCGTGCTTGAAAGCAGTGGTCTTGGTCTCCTTCCAGGGGTCTCGGTCTCCTCCAATTGAAGAAGTCCAGAATAAGAAGACCCCAGCTCGTTCTAATGAGTATAGGTGAAGCACCGCACTTTGCAGCTCCCACATATCTAATATCTACGGAGATTGGGGAGACTGCCTTTCTGCGGGCTTCCGAGCTTCTGAGCTTGTTGCAACCTCGCCGCAGCCTAGGCCCCAGACCAAACACCCCAACTTACTCTGAGCTTGTTTTCCAATGATCATGCCCAGCAACTCCAGCAAGAAGGAGAAGCTCTTGCAAACAGCTATGTTTGAGCGCTCGATTTAGGTCATACACGCACAGCCTAATCTTTGATCTTTTGCCAGTTATTTCTTGTGTCAGCAGACCAGCACAACTCCAGAAAGTTTTCACACAGGGCAGATTTGCTACACAGCTCGTGCTGTCGAGAGCCGCAAGAAGAGAGGCGGCTGTGGTTCTTCGCTGGTTTGGGTCTGTAGCAGCCAGGGTGCTACGCAGGGCATCCTGCATGATGAGTGCTTGGGCATCTGAGAGCTTTACTTCAAGTCTATAGCTTGTTGAAGGCCTTTCTGTAGGCAGGCACAAACAGATGTGGAGTCAGACTGAGGGAGTTCTTGAAGAAGAGGAGGAAGAGAGGGATCCCAGACTGAGAGAGAAGCAACAGATCCTGACATGCAAATGCAGAAAGCCAACAAAGCTTCGGCATGTGTGAGGTGTTCAGGTCAGCTTGATGCGCAAGTCATGCACTTTGCAAATGGCAAGAGGAGCTCGCAAGTTACATCTTACGATGACCTTTGGCCTCAAACACAAAACGAACAAATTGAAAGCACAAGCATGTCATGGGAGGTCAGCATGTGGGCGTCCCTTGGCTTCAGCTTCGCGGATCTTCTATGTGAGTTGCAGGATCTGAGCGAATGGGATCCGGGCCCTTGGTCCCTGAATCGTAGCATGCACGCACCCCAAGAATCCAAAGGTTTTTTCCTCAGATGCTTTGGCCACATGGAGCATACGTATGGTCTTGTTCAGGCCCCCCAAGGAATGAATCTAAGATAGCCATCTCATCTTCATGAGATTTCTCTATCGACACTTTGGAGCCTTCAGCGATCCTCTTGTATGCCCATTGAGGAATTCTAAGCCCTGAGCTCAAAAACCGACATTGCTAAATCGCATGTTGCGTTTTCCCAGGAACTCACAAGCACCGCGCACATCCCACACCCCGAACCTCTGACCACTAAAGAATAACTCCATGGAAGATCATATCTTGACCAGCATTGTATTCCTCAAGAATGTTTTTACATAACCCCAAGGAAGGACCCCCAAATCCCCATTGCAACCCTCAACTCCCCGTGTATTTGGGGGCTAGGGTTTCCTACCCTCAGAAAGTCCCATTAAAGCCAAGGAAGCTCCCGGAGGGCACGGACCTGGCGGCTTTGCAGCTCGCCCCATCAGGAAAGTATAGTGGCACGAAAGGTAATGATGAGCCCCTATATCATACCCTATTATAATGTAGTAGTTTCCATTTTCTTTTCCATTATCCCTATATGAACCCTATATACCCCCAATATAAAGGCTTCATTGACGAAGTCTGTGGAGATTGTTCTGAGACATTCGCTTTATTATCACGTTAAGGTGTGTGCTACTTGTAGTTGGGCAGGTGCGCTGGCACCTGTCTTGTACTTTGAGTTGGATTACAACTGTTGGAGCTACTTTAGAACAATTTTCAAAGCTGCTACTGCATCATCCTTTTGCTTGGCAATGAAAAGTATCATTATTCATCTAGTGAGGGTAAGCTCCATGATGTTGGAGAAATTTC